GGTTGTTTAAAAGCTATATAGAAATTCCAGAAATTATACCTGTAGTTTTCTAGTTGTATTTAAAATATATATAGTTTCGGCATTATTATGGCAGAGATGTCAACTGGGATGCGTCCATTTCATGGACGTTCATTTGATAACGAACTTGCATTAGAAATTTGCGGCGGAAAGAGACCTGACTTTGCTTTAGGAACTCCTAGCTGTTATATTGAATTAGCTAAATTATGTATGGATTCAGACTCGCAACAACGACCTACTGCTGAAATCGTTCATAATAAGCTCTTTGAATGGCATAGTATTGTGAATCAGTCTGATGAACCTAGTGAATTTGATGAATTTGACGAATTTGATGAATATAATAAGCCTGATGAGTTTGATGAATCTAATGAAAGATTAAAAATAATTAGCGAGTTTATGGCTGCTAATATGAGAATTCCAGAGCTTTCAATAATTTTGAAAGAATATACTGATACTGTATATCGATATGCGAGTGAATTTCTTATTACACATGAAATTATATATCGATGTATGAGCAAATATATTAAAACACAAGAAATTGCGCAGCAATATAACAATCTTGACGCATATGGTATGTGGTAATTTTATACAGTGCAGTATTGTTATTATATTGTTTAATGTAATATCTATTTTATGCAATATAGGCTCTATTCCTGTTACTATTGCTGAAATTCCAGTTGACGTAACGGTAGGTCACAGAACAAAAAGACGGAAAACTGGTCAGGAATCATATACCACATGCAATTAGATGCGATCTACTTACCTACAAGTAACTGGAACTTGATCATATATGATCATATGATTTTGTGGTACAACGTGATTTCTATCAAAAATAAAAATACACTACTAATAAAATTTTTTATTAATTTTTATAAAATTTCTACAATATATGGATTAAAATCTATTCTTTATAATGGTAAAGTTTTTACAGGGTTTGCATATCAGTTCGTACAAGCTAACAATTTCGTACAAACTGACAATCAAATTCATACAAACTAAAAATCAAATTCGTTTCTCAGAATTCGTTGAATTTGAATTTCTTTTTTTTCTATTACGATAATTTTATTCATATAAGAATTTATATATTAAGGATTTTGTACAAGTATAAAATAGTTTATTTAAAAAATATTATATGTCAGTATTTGATAAATTTAATTCTAAAAGATTATATGGAAATTCAGTTAGACAGGTTTGCACTGTTATATAATGCTATACTTAGCTGTCTTGGGTTGAGTCTTGCTTGAGATTCATAATTACCAAATCTGAAAGCTAATAGAAAGTAGGGATTGGAACCGCCTAAAATTTTTCTTAATCGTTTAATCGTTTAACCGTTTAATCGTTTAATTTGGCCGGCATTAAAATAATTCCGGCCCACGATCAACATAATTCTGCCCGGAACTATGGAGCAATTTTTAAACAGTTAAACGGTTCCAATCAAGAAAGTTATACTTGAACCTTTAATGGATTTTTCTTATAGTTAATCATTACTATATTATCTGTTCTATTAATGTTATCATTTAATAGCAATAATGATATAATATCTGATATATACAAGTGCATGTCAGACATATGGGGTGTCTTCAATTAAAAGGGCCCATTTT